TTAATAGAGAGAAAGAGAAGCAATTATTGCAACGAGAACACGAGATGATACGAAGCGCTTCGTCGTCAAGTAACGCCACCTCTGCGGCTGGTAATATTCGCAATCTCAAAGATCTTTTACTCGAATTTGATGCGAGAAAATACATTCTGGAAGTGGAAGCAGCAGCTAGAACTACTGAGAAATTCTTATCAGCTAGACGATAATTCAGCCAGAGTATTAATAAGCTCAAGGCTGAAAGGGCGCGCGCTCGCGTGGTTTCATTCGAAGGCAGAGCACTTGATATTGAACATCGAAGATTTATTAGAAGAGATGACGCGGATGTTTGACTCGCGTCCCGCAAAGTTGTCGCTTCGTAAAACATTTGAGGCCCGTGTATGGAAAGCAGACGAACAATTTTGTGATTATTACCACGAAAAAATAATTCTTGCCAATCGAGTACCGATCGACGAAGACGAGCTCCTCGATTATTTGATTGAGGTCATTGCCGATAGGCGCTTACAAAATCAAGCGCATTATGAACTTTCAATCAAAGTCTGAGTTACTGAAGGTTTTCGAGAAAATCAACCTCGAAACCAAGTGGTCCAACGACCCGAAGCTGAAGAAGGATGGCCTGAAATCCTCTGGTGCAAAAATGGAGATATCATCTACAAAAGGAAAACCAACAAAGTATTACAGATGTCATGAAACAGGGCACATCGCTACACACTGTAAGCGTCCGACAGCGATCACATCGGTAGAGAGGAGAGCCTGCTTCGTTTGTGGTTCCTTAGAACATCTAGCAAGAGATTGTTCGGAACGTAAACAACTTGTCTCATCGTCGGAGGCTGAAAAAAGATCTGCGCAGACCACATTGACGAACGTGATAACCGTCGAACAACACTTTGAACTTCCGAAACCGTATGTAGTGACGTTGAGGGTCAACCCTAGTGGAAAAATCGGTAATGTAGATGCGTTTGAAATAGATGCGATTATTGACTCAGGTTCGCCTATTAGCCTTGTGCGTGACAGTGTTGTCAAAAATGAATTTTGTAGTCCGGTGACAGAAGATACTAGTAAATTCTGCGGAATAAATCGTTCGCGTCTCAAAATATCAAATATTTTTTATGGCGATATTGATGTAAAAGGCGTGCGTACAAAAATAAAATTTTATGTTGTACGTGATCGTGCGATGGCATTTAGAATGCTCTTGGGTAGACTTTTTAACTTGTCCACTATTACGTGTTACTTTTGGGAATACGGTAGAGATCGAAAATGTGCATGAGACAAGCGAAGAACCAATATTGAGCATCGCCGTTAGCGAACGCTCCGATAACGCGCGAGATGAATTACACATAAATCCCGAAATCGGTCGAGATAAAATTGACAAAATATATGAAATCTATAAATCTAGTTACCTTAAGAATTTTCAAAAGGGAAAACGTGAATTTGATTTTGAAATGAACATTGGTTTAAAGCACAATCAACCTATAAGTGAGCGTCCACGTAGATTGTCCTTCGCGGACAAAGAGACATTACGGAAAATCTTGGACGAGCTGCTGGAAAGAAAAATCATTCGTTCGAGCAATTCACCATACGCGAGTCCGATCGTGTTAGTGCGGAAGAAAACTGATGAGCCTCGGCTCTGCGTTGACTTCCGCGAATTAAATAAAATAACAATTCGTGATAACTTCCCTACTGAACTCATAGATGATAACATCGATCAGTTAAAGAATAAAACATATTTTTCTGTGTTGGACCTAAAGGATGGATTTTATCATGTTAAAATCAGCGAAGCGTCTGTTAAATATACGTCATTCGTAACTCCGTTAGGACAGTACGAATACTTAGGAATGCCCTTCGGGCTAACGAATGCGTCACGCGTATTCCAACGTTTTGTGCATGCTGTGTTTAATCCACTCATAAGAGAGCATAAAATACTGTTGTACCTTGATGATATTTTAGTCGCTACAGAAGGCATGAGAATTTAACAATTTTATCAGAGTTATTTGAATTAGCTGGTAAAAACCGACTACAGTTTCGATTAGATAAGTGTCATTTTATTCAGACTGAGATCAAGTATCTTGGATATTGTGTAAGTCGGCACGCGATACGACCGAGTGACGAAAATATAGAGTCCGTACTAAATTATCCGGTTCCGAGGAACGTGAGAGAGGTTCATCGTTTTGTCGGACTTGCTAGCTATTTTAGGAGATTCGTTCCTAAGTTTTCGTTGTTAGCGAAACCATTATATGATTTAATAAAAAAGAACGCTGTATTTGCTTTCGGTGTCACTGAACACGAGGCATTGGAGATATTGAAGTGTCATTTAGCCAGCAGACCGGTGCTAGCGATTTATTCGCCGCACGCCGACACAGAACTGCGCTGTGATTCGAGTGCAAGCGGGTTTGGCGGCATTTTACTTCAAAAACAGAGCGATGGTGTGTGGAAACCTATTTCTTATTGGAGTCAGCGTACTACTACTATGGAAGCTAAATACTATAGCTATGAACTCGAGTGTCTCGCGGTAGTCTATGCGTTAAAAAGGTTTCATATTTATCTCGCTGGGCAAAAGTTTAAAATCATTACAGATTGTGATAGTTTCCGCCTTACGCTAAACAAAAAAGATATAAACCCACGGATATCTCGTTGGGCATTATTCCTACAAAACTATAATTATGAGATAGTGCATCGTCCGGGTAAACGAATGGCCCATGTCGACGCGCATAGTCGGTGTCACAGCTAGTACTCGAGGGCAGTACGTTTGAGCGAACCCTGTCGATTTGTCAAGATCGGGATACCGAGATTTTCAAACTTCGTAAAAAACTCGAAGAAACTGAATTAAAACAATACGAGTTACGTGACGGTCTTGTTTATAGAAAAGATAAAAATCAAAAATTGTTATTTTATGTGCCACAGTCGATGGAAACTAATGTAATTCGAACATGCCATGATGATATCGGACACGTTGGGGTCGATAAGGTTATTAATTACATTACAAAAGTTTATTGGTTTCCGAATATGCGCGAACGGGTGAAAGAATATATTGCAAATTGCCTTCGATGTATAGAGTTCTCACCGTCGAGTGGTGTAAGACGGAAGGGTTTTTACATAATATCCCAAAAAATAAGTTGTCGTTTGTGACTATACACATAGATCATTTTGGTCCGTTAGAGAAAACAAGGAAGGGATATCGACATGTACTCGTTATTGTCAACGCGTTCACTAAATTTGTAAGAGTTTATCCATGTAAGTCTACTACGACGGATGAAGCGATAACATGTTTGCGAGACTATTTTCGCTCATACAGTAAACCGAAACGTTTAGTTTCAGATAGAGGTACATGTTTCACATCTGATGCGTTCAAAGAGTTTCTAAAGGATGGAGATATCCAACATATCTTAGTTGCTGTACATACGCCGCGGGCTAATGATCAGGTGGAGCGCTTTAATAGAATTCTAGCGCTAATGATAGCAAAATTAAGCGGAACTCCCTCTACATGGGATCAAGTTTTGAGTGAAGTCGAATATTCTCTAAATAACACCGTGTGCCAATCTACAGGTGAAACTCCTTCGCGATTAATGTTCGGAGTTGATCAAAAAGGAAAGGCTAATGATGTGTTGCGCGAAATGTTCGAGTCAGATGT